GGTGTGGTGGTGGAGGAGCTTGACTCCCACATGGCTGACCATGGTTCGAGTCCCGAACATGGTGGCTTGCTTTCTCGCTTTCTCTCTCTATCTCTGTGTTTCTCTGGTCAAATAAAAAATAATAATAATAAATAAAATGAAATAATTATTAAAAACCCTTTAAAAATTATTATTTTGAGTGAAAGAAGCCAGACCAAAGAAGAGTGCATGCTATATGATATCATTTACATGAAAGTCTAGAAAACACAACTAATCTATACTTACAGAGAGCAGGTCAGTGTTTGGGGATGGGAGTTTGAGCCAGGGTTAGTGATGAGTATGTTTATTGCTTTGTTGTGATGATTTCAAGGCTATATACATACATCATACATCAACCACCACTGCTGGCATAGTGGTTAGGGTGCTGGACTCTCACATGGCCTCCTGCTATTCGAGTTCCAGACCTGGTGGCTTGCTTTCTCACTTTCTCTCTCCCTCTCTTTCTCTCTCTGGTGAGTGCACATGCTCTGTAGCAAATTTTAAAATAATAACACTGATAAATAAAATTAAATAATTCTTTTTTTTTTAGGGGGAGAAGAGGTTTTTTGGTATAGGACACATGTACTCACCAGAAAGACAGAGAGGCAGAAAGTGAGAAATCACCCCCCAGGGGGGATGGCCACACTGCATTCCTTTCTCCTCCATTCTCCACTGGAGACCTTGGGCACGCACACACACACACACACCCAGCATGAGTGTAAGCCACCAGGCCGGGACTCGAACTGTGGTCGACTACCTGAGAGTCCAGCGACATAGCCATTATGCCATTTGCTGGTCCCAAAATTAAATAATTCTAAAAAAAAATAAATAAATAACTTACCATAAAGGAGACTAGGCAGTAGCACAGTAGTAACACAACTGGATCCACATGGACAAGGTCCTGGGTTTGCATCCCAGAACCTCCCTGAGCATGCTGGACGCACATGTGTGCCTGTGATGGGACCAGCTGAGATGAAGTGTATTATGACATGCGGATGCGTTGAGGGTGTCTGTTTCTGACTCTCTTTCATGGATGAAATAATAAACTTTTAAAAAATATATCAAGGGGCCAGCAGGTGGTATAGTGGTTAAGGTGCTGACATAGCCAAACATAGTTCGAGTCCTGGACCTGGCAGCTTGCTCATGCACTTTCCATCTCTTGCTTTCTCTCAACTCTGTCCAACTCTGGTCAAATTAAAATAAATAAAATTAAATAAAATAATTCTTTAAATATATATATTTGACTATATCAAATAGGGGCCAGAGGGTTGTTGCTAGATCCCACATGGCCAGCTCCACAGGTTCGAGTCCCAGATCTGGCAACTTGAAATTCATGCCAAGTGTGTGTGTGTGTGTGTGTGTGTGTGTGTGTGCCCAAAACCCCAAGAAGAGAATAGAGAAGGGATTGTGGCATGGCCAATCCCTCTTGGGGTAATTTCTCACTTTCCTTGTCTCTGCACCTCTGTCTCTCTTCGGTGAACTCACATGGCCTATGGCAAAAATAAAAAATAATTTTTCTTTTTTTTCTTTTTTTTTTGGAAAGGTTTTTTGCTATAGGGCGCGTGCGCTCGCCAGACAGACAGAGAGAGACAGAGAGACAGAAAGCGAGAAATCATCCCCCGGGGAGGATGGCCACGCCACAATCCCTTCTCCTCTATTCTCCTCTCGGGATCTTGGGCATGCACGCACACGCGCCCGGCATGAGTTTAAGTCACCGGGTTCGGGACTCGAACCGTGGTTGACTACGTGGGAGTCCAGCAACATAGCCATTACGCTAACTGCTGGTCCCAATAAAAAATAATTTTTTAAAAAGATCAAATAGTACACTTTAAAAATGTACAGTTTGGGACTAGCAGATAGTAAGCATAATAGTTACATCACCGGCCTCCCATGTAGTTGGCCACAGTTCGATTCCTGGACCTGGTGGCTTAAAACTCACCACACGCTGTGTGTGTGTGCACACATACCCAAGATCCCTAGAGGAGAATGGAGGAGAAGGGACTGTGGTGTGGCCATCCCCTTGGGGGGTGAGTTCTCATTTTCTGTCTCTGTCTCTCTAGTGAGTGCACATGCCCTATAGCTTCTCTCTCTTAAATGTAGTTTATTAAATGTTAATTATATCTCAATAATACTGTTAAAACAACAATGACAGCAACAACAACAAAACCAGCAATATTCAGGTTCCTTCTGAGTTTCATGGTCCTGGAATGCGACCTAAGCATCACTGCTTTCTAAAGAGTCCCAAGGGGTGCTAAGGTGCAGCCCTGCCCGAGAAGCTCTGATGGCCGCCCTTCACTGAAGTCACTCTTCCAGCCACTAAAAGGATAGTGACAGTGTTAAGGGCGACGACGAGGTGGAGGGCGAGGCCCCAGAAGGCGAAGTGCTACGAGGGCATTTGGGAAGACGACTGACAAGACCAGTTTGGTCGACTGTGACGGCTCTGACAGAATAGCTGACTCCACTAGGGGGCATCTGGACACTTCCCTCCAGCACGATTTCCGGGGAAACTGCAGAGGTAGGGTGGCAGCTGCCTGGGGATTGCATGAGAGCCCAAACTGAGCACTCAGAGGTTTCCTTGCTGGAGAAAGGCGCCCTAGGGGCTAGATGGAACAGAACACAACCAGCCACTAGGAAGATGTCACCTCCTTGACCTGATATTATATTACTGTCATTTCAGTGTCATTTGAGGTTCTAGAGTTCAAAGAGCAGAGGTAGTTATTCAGGGACTAAGTAACTCCTGAAGAATAAACAGTTCTCAGGAAGACAAAATGCTTTGCACGTACAGCATGTAGGTGCACTTGGGACGCTCCACCAGGCAACCCCAGGAATTACAGAAGTTCCTTCTGTTCCTACTTCAGTCCGCGTGTCTAGCATTGGATCAGCAAGTGCTTAGCGAAGTGCCAGAGACAGAACCAGGAAAAGGCATCGGTTAGGTTCCGAGCACACCTCCGCAACTCTGCGGGCCACACACACATGCCAGCCTTTTCACCGGATGGTGAATTCCAGAATTCCGCGTTCAGGCTGCAGCTGGGGAGAAGTGCGTCACGTGACCGGACCGGAACCGGGGCGGAGCCGAAGGGCCACGACGCTATCTGGTTGCCTGGCAACGGCAGGGCCCGCCGCGATGGAGGCGGCCGACAGCAGGGAGCGCCAAGCCAGGGATTATTTGGAAAAACATCGGATCATGGAGCTGCTGAGACATCTCACCAGCGTCCTCCTCTTTGTCCGGCCGGGTAAGGGTCTGTCCCACCCGCCTCCCCGTGTGGGAAATTCGCGTACTCCATCCCTCCACGCCCGCGGTCCACTCGCTCCGGAATCCCAGTTTTCTGCGCCTTCACTCCCTGCCTGCTCCGTGTACTTGATAACTTGACCCTTCTGCAGCTAGTGAACTGTGACTTGAGTAAACTAGTACTGATTGCATGACCTCAGCCAGGTGAGATGAGACCCAGGCAGGTGGAGGACTCGAGGGAGTTGGGGGAGAGGGCCTGGGGTGCAAGCACCCGCCGCCTGTCTGCACCCTTAGTTCCGTGTGACTGCGGGCAAGACTGAAAACCCGGACGGTAACAGTACTAGTCGGATGGGAACGCGGGGAGATTACGTGAGCAATTTACGGTGTGTCAGCTTTATTCCTGGCAAGCAACAGATGTTTCCAGGGCTACTCCAGCTCTCGGAGTTTTTAACCTATTCGGGGAACTCAACCATTGGGTAAGTGCTGTAGTTTGAATGTCTCCCCAAAATTGAAGTGCCGAGCCACTGTAAGGGGGTTGGGAAGGTGAAAACTTTATCCTGTTCTGTTATAAAAGAAGTAGGGCCTTTGCAAAAAGCTGAGGCTGAAGATCATTAGGCTGGGTTCCCTGATTGAGTTCTGGTGGGTTTATAAGGAGAAGGAAGGAGACACAGCGATGGCTACTCTACAGAGGCTCGCTAGGCCAGATCCCTGGACCTTGGACTTCCAAACTGTGAGTTGTATAAACCTCTCATTTTTTTAAGTCAGTGAATTTCAGGGGTTTTTTTTGTTATTAGCAACAACATTGATGAGCATATAGAAGGGTGTTTTTGAGGAAACAGCTTTTCCTGACATTTTCTTACACACCTGAGTTCCTTGCAAAGTTCAATCTTTTATCATTTTAGTGTGGTGTATGATTACAGAGGTGAGTTAAAGGATGGTCGCATGAGGGACCAGCAGTTAGCGTCATGGCTATGTCGCTGGACTCCCACGTAGTCCACCGCGGTTTGCGTCCCTGACCGGGTGGCTTAAAACTCATGCCGCGCACGTGTGCATGCGTCCCCAAGATCCCGAGAGAAGAATGGAGGAGAAGGGATTGCAGCGTGGGTGATTTCTTGCTTTCTGTCTCTCTGTCTCTGTCTGTCTGGGGAGTGCAAGCGCCCTATAGCAAGAAAAAAACCTCTCAAAGAAAAAAAGATGGTCGCATGTCCCTCTCCCCAGGGGCAGAGGTAACTTGCTGTCGTCCTCCATACGCAGTGCCCAGAATGCCAGAATTGTCCATTTGCTTCTGTGTAAGAGAAGAGAAATACCAAATACTCCAACTTTCCAAAAGTCACCAAACTAATAGGATCAAGTATAAGGTGAAAACCTTCCTAGTTGTTTTAAAGAGATCAAGTAATTTTAAAAAGCCCTCGGTCTCTGCAGTGAGGACATAGGAAGTGAAAAGAAACGCACAGAGTTGTTTTTAATGCAACTGGGGAGAAGTAGCTATTGACCTCATTTATAAGGTCCCGGGTTTTTGGAAAAGTGATCGTTGTGCCTGCCTCTGGTTGTGATTGGTACTGTAATGTTGAGAACAGTCTTCTGCTGCTAGATGCAGCCATACTGTGTGTGTGAAAGAGAAAAACTACTGAACTGTTATTCCTGATAGTATGATTTTAGGGCACTTGTTTTTTGCAAAATAAACGTGTTTTGGGGAAGGATGGTTTTGTAGCAGTAAAACGTGATGCGCTGAGGCTGACCCACATAGGAAGGTACAAGTGGTACCTAGAGACATCTCCTCCCACCCCCACCCCAGTATACCAGGCACACGTGTGTTGGCTGACACCGGGAGTAGATCACAGGGTCAAGACCCTCTGGGGGGGCGGGGTGATGGCTCCCGCCCTATGGCATAAACCAATGGAGGCTGGAGGATTGCGACATCGATTCCATCTCTCTGTCTCTATCAACGCGCACAATTTTGGGGGGCCGGCGGGTGATGTGATTAAGGGCTCTGAACTCCCACATGGCTGACCGTGGTTCTAGCCTTGGACCTGGCAGCTTGCTTTATCACTTTCTCTCCCTCTGTCCCTCTCTGGTCACATTTTTAAAAATAAAGTAAATAAATAACTGAAGTGGTTCTTTAAAAAAAAAATACTCTATATGGGATGCTATCTCCGTCTGTCTGTCTTTGTCTCTCACACTCATGGAGGAAATAAATGGAAAAAATGTGTTTGACCTTTATGGTAACAACCTTTAATAATATCCATCCTATATTAAGACAAATTTTAGTTTTCACCATTTTAGTAGGTGATATTACATTCATCGTGTTATGTTCACTATATTAGAATAGTATTTGTCAGCATGTGTATATTTTTAAAGAATTATTTGTTTAATTTTTCTTTTTCTTTTTTTTTTTTTTAATTTGCTATAGGGTACATGCACTCATCAGAGAGAGAGAGAGAGAAGGAAAGTGAGAAAGCAAGTTGCCAGGTTCAGGACTCGGACCTTGATCAGCCATGTGGGAGTCCAGGGCCTTAACCACCACAACACCTGCTGGTCCCAGTGTGTGTATATTTTTAAAGACTTATTTATTCCCTTCATGAGAGAGGGGGAGGGAGACACCCTCAACAAGGTCTCATCACACCATAATCCATTTGCCCCCAGCCTTCCAGCCAGCCAGAATCATGCTGGGATCCAACACCCATCTTTTTTTTGGAGAGGTTTTCACTATAGGGCGCGTGTGCTTGCCAGACAGAGACAGAAAGTGAGAAATCACCCCCCGGGGGGATGGCCACGCCACAATCCCTTCTCCTCCATTCTCCTCTCGGGATCTTGGGCATGCACACACACGTGCCCGGCGTGAGTTTTAAGCTACTGGGTCCGGGACGTGAACCGGGGACTACTACATGGGAGTCCAGCGACATAGCCATTACACTAACTGCTGGTTCCCCCAACACTCATCTTTCACATGGCCTCCAGCATTGCAGAGTGGTGCCCGCTGCAGCTGGATCTGTCAACATGTATTTTTTCATTTCACTTTTATTTTTTTACCAAAGTAAATATATGAGGTTTTTAAATATTGATAATAATAATTTTTAAACTCTCTAAAGCTTATAATGAGTAACAACAGCACTCTCCTCCCCTTCCCCAGTTCCGGCTCTGCAGAATAAATTATTTCAACTCTTAGCTATATCTTTGCTATTGATCTTGATATTTCTAAATAAAAGACTTATACTACTACTTCAAAATGTTTTTCACTCCAGATTTAGATGTTTGCATTATACTGTGAAAATGTCGCTCTCAGGCCAGTGGGTGGCATGGTGGTTAAGGCAGCTGGATCCTATAGGCTGACAGTGTCAGACTCAGCACCGTGAAAAACACGCAAGATGTATTTGCGTGCAATTGAAATCCCAAGAAGAGAATGGAAGAAAAGAGGTTGCTGCTTGATCATCCCCCTAGGGGTGTTCTCTCTCTCTCTCTGTCTCTTTCTTTCTTCCTCTCTGGCAAGCACACATGCCCCACAGCAAAAACCAAAAACAAGAAAAAGGAGAAAATGTAGCTCTCTCAGACACATACACATTCACACATCTTCCAGTTGTGCTCATCTTCCCAATAAATTTGGAGCACAATTTTGGGATGAAAAGTATTCTGAATTTTTCATTTTATTATCATGCAATGGTTCATAGCTAATCCATGTAGTATAGCTATGATTATATTTCCTTTGTTGTTTTCCCTAAAGTTGATACTACTACATTTACATTTTTTGCTTAATTTTCTGTGTAATTATCACCGATTTATCCAGTCTCTTTTTCAGACCAGTGTAACTCTCTTGCCGTTACACTGACGTTCATCGGGTGATGCCCACCCCACTGCCCCACTCTAGACCGATTGCCCACCCATCCTGCTTCACAGTTTCTATTCAGGGCTCCCCTTCACTCCGATCCTGAGAATCCTCTTTGCCTCTTCTCATGTTTCATGGCACGTCCCTCCTTCTTGATTGACCTGCTCCTTCCAGCGAAACAGATCTTCCATGGCTTACTAAGACTGCGTGCTTTGAACAATAATATTTTGAGATTCACATACGCAAAAATATCTTGGGACCAGCAGATGGTGTAAGGATTATGTCCTGGACTTGCATGTGGCTGACCACAATTCTAGTTTGGACCTGGAGGCTTGAGACTCACACCGGGCACACGTGTGTGCGTGCCCAAAATCCCAAGAGGAGAAGGGATTGCAGCATGGCCATCTTCCCTGGGAGGTGATTTCTTTATTTCTGTCTATGTCTGTCTCCCTGGCAAGCACATGCGCCATACAACAAAAATCTCTCTCAAAAAAAAAAAAAAAGACTTATTCTGTCCTCAAAGCCTGATAGTAACTAGAGCGGATACAATTCCAGGTTGGAAAATATTGCCATTAGGATTTTGAGGGCATTGTCCCATTGTCTTCTAACTTTGGGTGTTGCACTTAAGTCTGATGTTAAATCGCATCTGATTCTTTCTTTTTTTTTTTTTTTTTTTTGTAGAGGTTTTCACTAAAGGGCGTGTGCACTCGCCAGACAGACAGAGAGAGACATAGAGACAGAAAGCGAGAAATCACCCCCCGGGGGGATGGTCACACTGCAATCCCTTCTCCTCCATTCTCCTCTCGGGATCTTGGGCACGCACGCACACGTGCCCGGCGTGAGTTTTAAGCCACCAGGTCCGGGACGCGAACCGCGGTCAACTACGTGGGAGTCCAGCGACATAGCCATTACGCTAACTGCTGGTTCCCTGATTCTTGATCTGTGTATGAGATGAGTTTCCTTTCTGAAAAATTTTGAGGAATGCCTTTATTCAAAATATTTATATGTGATGGAATGGTTTTGTGGCCATTTTTAATGTGTTATGCTAGGCACTTTGTGGACTTTTAAAAAATTTGTAGACTTTTTTGCCTTCTGAGCTGTATTTTCATTACCTATTTCTTTCTTTCTTGAATTGTTATTGGCTGGATATTGGACATCTTGGCCTAATTCTCTTTCTTTATGTC